GCTCGGAGACCATGAATTACTTCAGAGTACAAAAAATGTCACTTAAAAAAAAGTAAGCCCTTTTCCAGCAGGTTAATGTTTGCTATACTGCACTGCATCAAGATTAAGCATATGACTGAAAATGTTACAAACTGCCAATTCTCTTCTCTCCTATTGTACCATGAACTATGTACTGTGACTTGGGAGAGGAGCTGGGGATATTATTGTAATTCCAACTAGGTTAATACTAATTTTGAAATAAAATTGTTATATGACTACTAGAAAATGTTATATCTATCATGTATATTACAATATTTTTGTTCACTATGGTGCCTTGCACAGATCATATATCCAACAAACTTTAGTACAGCTACTTAACAATAGGGACAGGACCTTATCTTGAGGACTATGTGATTCCCATGGAGCTGGGCACAGAGTTGAGAGTATGTACCTCCAACTCTCCTCTTGCTTATTGGCAGGACAGCCAGAATATGTTGTCCAGGTTCCAGAAATAGCTACATTTACTGGGACTGCCAAACATCCTGGGAACTGTCCAGTCCATGAAAGAAACTTTGAGTTCATGTGTAACCATGAATCCTGTGTCTCATTACGTGAATATAAATGTGTGTTTTTGGCTGAAAAATAAAAATAGCAGTTCTTCAAGCTCGTCTCATGGTATACTTTCATGGGTGGTAAAATATAAGGGTAATGTGGAATAAAGTAAAGGACAAAAGGTAGGTCTGGTGTCTTAGAAAAGACTTATAGCATAAGGGATGCATATGGCATTGAGGCAACTATTATTAGAAGACACAATAAAGAAGAGCACTCTAGAAGACTTTTTCCACTTCTACATAGGCACATCTGCTTTTTGGGTGGAACATTTATATCACCTTTTTACACTTAGCACAACTGGAAAGAAAAGCAACATGATACTGCTGGCCATCCTCTGTGGTGGACCTCCCAGCACACTGTCTTCTGTGGGTAGACCACATCCTCTCTATTCACCAGTCTCACAATATAAGCTAACTTTGCTGTTACATGGATCTTGTTCAAAACCTCTCTATATCGTTCTGGAAATCACTGGCTTAGAAAAAGAATCGCAAATGCACAGAAGTAAGCATCAGCACAGAACTTCTCCTGTTCTGATCTGCAACCTTAAACCTATTTCTTCTTCCAAGCTCAATGTTCATCTGCAGGGCTCATGCTCTCTCCCTTTCCAAACACCACCGTTGCTCAATTTACTGTCTGCCTATCCAGTGTTTAAATGCCATCTTTGGCAAATGAATTTTAAGATTACAGTTTTGGATTTTTATTTATTTATTGTATGTTTTGTTTCCTACCTACATCAATCACTGCTGTTCTAGGCATCTTCATTTTTTATTCTACTGGGCACACTGAATCACAGAATAATAGAATCACACAGAATCACAGAATCACAGAATGGCCAGGGTTGGAAGGGACCTCAAGGATCATGAATCTCCAACCCCCCTGCCACATGCAGGGCCACCAACCTCCACACTTAATGCTAAACCAGGCTGCCCAGGGCCCCATCCAACCTGGCCTTGAACACCTCCAAGGACGGGGCAATAAAAATAACAGAATAATAATAAAAAAGTTTGTGTATGAAGCGACCTTCAAAGACCATTTAACCCAACACCCAGCCACAGCACAGGACATCTTTCACTACATCAGGTTGCTCACAGCCCTGTTGTTCAACGTGTTCAACACTTCCAGTGACCATGCATCTACAACTTATCTGGGCAATCTGTTCCAGTGTCTCACTACTCTCATAAGAGAAAATGTCTTCCATATCACAGAATAGTTTGAGTTGTAAGAAATCATCTATTTTCAACCCCTCTGCCATGGGCAGGGTATACCATCCATTAGATCAGACTGCTTGAAGAGCCATTCAACCTGGCCTTGAGCACTTCCAAGGAAAGGGTATCCAAAACTTCTCTGGGCAACTTGTTGTAGTATTCTACCACTCTAATATTAGAGATTTTTTTCAAGTAACTACCCTAAACGGATCCTCTTTTTATTTAACTTACTCCTTGTCCTATCAATACATTCCCTGATAACAAGTCCCTCTCCCTCTTTCCTGAATGAAACCTTCAAGTATTCTAAGATGTTATGCAGTCTGCCCTGAGCCTTCTCCAGGCTAATCAACCCCAACTCTTTCAGACTCTACTGAAAGGAGAGGCGCTCCGGTCCTCTGATTATCTCCATGGCCCTCCTCTGGACCACTCTAAAAGGTCCATATATCTCTTGCGCTGGAGGTACTCCATCTCTTGGCTGTGGTACTCCGGGTGAGTCCAGAAAATAGCAGAGTAAATGGAAAGAATTACCCCCTTCAATCTGCTGGCCATGTTTCTTTTGATGAAGACCATGATAGCAGAATCACAGAATCACAGAATTGCAGGGGTTAGAAGGGATCTCAAGAGATCATTGACTCCATACCCCCTGCAAAGCAAGGTTTCCTACAATAAGGCACACAAGTATGCATCCAGACAGGTCTTCTCCATAGAAGGAGAGTCCACAGCCTCTCTGGGCGGCCTCTTTGTCCTGTCACTAAGCCTCACCCACTTGCCTTCCACCTCACTTTGGATATTTATAATCATTAATCAGATCATATGTCAGCCTTCTTTTCACAAGGCTGAACATATTCAGGTTGCTCAGCCTTTCCTCTTAAGGGAGATGCTCCAAGCCCTTTAGCATCTTCACAGGCCTCCTCCAGACTCCTTCAAGGAGATCTCTGTCTTTTTCAAATCAAGGAGCCCAGAACTGGACACAGTATTCTGAAAGTGGCCTGACCAGGGCAGAGTAGACAGGTAGGATCACCTCCCTCCATCTACTGGCCACACGCTTTTTAATGGGTTCCAGAATACTGCTAGCCTTCTTGGTCACAAGGGCACGCTGCTGCCTCATGGCCAATCTGCTGTCCACCAGAATACTCAGGTTGTTCTCCACAGAGCTCCTCTCCAGCTCCTCTCCCTGATCTGCACTGATGCATGCAGTTATTCCTCCCCAGGTACAAGACTCCACAATTACAGTTGACTTTCTGGGCTGCAAGCACAAAATGTTGGCCCATTATCCAATTCTCCATCCACCAATATTCCCAAACCCTTCTCCATAGATCAGCTTGCAATCCACTCATTACCCAGTCTCTACTGACATTGAGGACTATCCAGTCCAGATGCAGGATCTCGCACGTGGCCTTACTGAACTTCATAAACTCATCCCAAGCCTGTTAAAATCCCTCCGGAGGGCATCTCTCCCTTCAGGTGCAATCAACAGCACTAGTTAGCTTGATGTCACCTGCACACTCGCTGAGTATGCACTCAATCCCACTATCTATGACAGTAACAAAGATATTAAATAGTATGGTCCTTGTATGGACCCTCGAGGTATGTTACTTGCTATTGGTTTCCACTTGGACACTGAGAAATGGACTGTAACTTTTTGGACACAGACATCCAGCCGATTCATTATCAGAAGTCCAGGTAGATGACATCAGTAGATCTTATTTACTGATCCAATCACTCCATTGTAGAATATCACTTGTCAGGTACGATTTGTCCTTAATGAAGACATGCTGACTGTCTCTGATTACCTCCCTGCCTTTCATGTATTTTAGCATAGCTTCCAGGAGGATCTGTGTTCCATAGGCTTACCAGGCACTGAGGTGAGGATGACTGGTCACTGGTTCCAGCACTGTCCTTATTATCTTTTTTTAGAAAGCGGTGTGCTATTTTCCCAAGTCACTGGGGACTTTTCCAGACTGCCACAATTTTGTTCACCAAGACCCTGGCTTGGGGTTGAGGGACTTGAGTGATTAGAGGAGAATGACTGTGAGTAAAAACTGAGACAAAAAAAAAATAAATTGGCAACTTCAACCTTCTCTACATCAATTGTCACTAGTTCTCCTATTTTACTTACTGTCGTGGAAGGCATCCTTTCCTTACCATTCCTTACATGTGACAGCACTCCCACCTGAAGTGCTTTGGTAAGGAATTTACAACTACCACCCTATTCTAGCCTTTTCCTAACTTTTCCCAAAGACATACTACTTGGAAAGGGAGTGAAACACTGCAACTTGAATATTAAAAGAAGACAGCCAGAGGGAGCTGTAGGTACATAAACTCCCTCCCCAAATCTGTGTAACACTTTGACCTGGATACTGAAATCAGGCCTATAGCCAGAGGGAGCTGTAGGTACATATGAGTCAGCTAGACTGTACACTGAAAAAAATGAACTCTTAAAGTCTGGTTTCTTCTAGTTCTTCATCTCAGTACTGAGTAGCTGCAAGTGTTACTGCACTAGCAAATTCAGCTGGACTTGGAGGAACAGCAGCAATAACTATGGTGTAACTTGAAAACAGCTGGAATGACCGTTGATTGTAATCTGGCTGAGTTCTCTCTATAGTACTCAGCATATACTGCTCCAACGGCAAAGCAGAGCTCTTCCTCATTTAAAGGAGCACTAAGGTCTCTTGAAAAGCCCTGTCTTCTAGGCTACACCAAGCAGTATTTTAAAACGAGGCATCCAATTATAAAATGCTACACTATGACCTCAAAACATGTAATGAGTCTCAATTCTGCTAGCCTGAGACCTCTTTGGAAGTCATTGTACAACTGGGAATCAAGTCACTGAGCTTCAAACAGCAGCCAGAGAGATGTGGAATAACTCCAGTATATGATGTAAGATGGTCTTGGTACAGCTGATCAGTACACCCACCAGATTATTCTGACGAAAAGAAGCTTTAAGGGCGCTCCTCAGCCTCTTGTTAGGGCAAAATGCATGCAAGTTAGCCCCATCTTACTCAAGACAATCTCTCTCTTTCCTGAACTCATACACCCCCAAACTATTCCAATCTACTGGCTATTATCTGACTTCCATAAACACAAAAAACACAACCAGTCTGCAGTTAAACTGTGAGAACTGCCAAAGTGAGCAACTGCTCGGCACCTTAGTAAGTCACAACTCTTTTTTTTTTAGATTTTTTACATGAAATGTTTGCTTACCTGACAGTAATCAATTCCAGTAACCAGTGAATTCGAACTTGTTCAATGCCATCATGAGGAACAGAAGAAATGTATGCAAGGTTCATCTCTTGATCTTTGCTTAGGTCAAATAGGTCAGCAGAGCTGTGAGGTAAAGGAGGGCTTTGGAAAAAGAACAAAAAAGAAGTAACGTATTACAACATTGGCCATCAGATCCACTGGGTATTCAGAACTTCCTGTGCTAAACACGTATCACCTGCAAGATCTTATCTGGCATAAGGAACACTGTCTTAACAAGGGATGAGAGTGAAACGGAAGCTAAGGAGTTGGACCTATGATGTGGCAAAGCAGAACAAAAATCAGGTACATCTCATTGCCACACTTAAAGTATCACAAGCAGTCATTGCTCCTCAGGTAACAGCTTCAGTCAGAGGTGGCATGAAGTGGCTATGCAGTGGCGATCACTTTACTTCTGAGTAACCAGTGATAAAAAAAGCACAGTGACTTCTAGGTTCTGGAGCAGGAGCCAGGTTTGCCCAAGACTGTGATAAAGCAAATACTGCGTTGATATTCCTGCTGAAGTCTATGCGCTGACATCAACCCTTGCTCTGCTGTGAAAGTTACATCTGTGAGAAGCATCCATTACACCTCATCTCACCTTGAAGCATAAGAAAGTACTGGAGTATGAAGCTTGGTATTTCTATGATGCTGCAAGCCTTGAGCACGTTAAATTGCATAACAATGATCATACTAATATTAATTCAGTGCCACATTATTCCACCAAAATTAAGGAACACCAGAGCAAATTCCTGCTGCTTTTACTTCCGCAGAGAAATAACTGCAAGATGGAAAGAGATCTCACTCCTCGTTCTCCTCAAGTTAGAACATTAACTTAGAACATTGCTCTGCTCACTGGCTTTGTGCATCTTTCACCACTTTCAATTAGACTGCTAGGAATCTGTGAATTCTGAGTTTTGAACTGTTTACATTACAAGAAAGATAAAAACATAATTGTTTCCAAAGTTTGGTAAAATACTTCTGTACATCTTCCTGAAGCAAGAGGAGACAACTTGTACTATACTATACTGTTTACAGATAGTATAGTTACTGTATAGATGAGTAACAAAGTTACGCTTGGCCTACTGTGATGTCTCTTCTGATGGGTAGATGAGACAGGCTCCAAATTTACTACCACTTCCATGCTACCAAACAGGTTGTGTGACTTCAAATTTCTCCTTTTAGCATTAAGTTTTACACATTACTCTTTTCTGCCAGGATTACCCTTTTCTGCAAGGATTCCCAAAGTTGTCTGTTCAGCCTCCATCACTGGCAATAGATACTGGTGCTGCTAATGGTAGCAGCATCTTCTGAGCTATATTATTTCAACTATACTGCAGATAGTCGAACTGTCATCTTCTCCTTCCCTACTCCCTCTTTAAGTTAATCTCACCTCCTGCAGTTACTGAATGAGCCTGATACTGTACAGACTTCTGTGCCTGAAGGCAGAAAAACCTGAACCCACCTTGAAAAAGACTTGACATGTCCTAGCACAGACACTACCATCCCATCTCCTGCATTCTTATTAGAAAGCTAAGTCTTGGCACATACTACATTCCTGCGGTGCTTCATGCAAATCAGCTAGCATGAGAGCTCTTCTGTGCAACTTCATTAGCATAAAAGGCACTTAAAATGCCATCTCCCAAAGACTGCCTCGTCACATACGAGACTGAGAAGTTACGGATTCTCCTTTGTCTAGAACCACCCAGCCATCTGGGTGGTTTTCATTGTTCCAATGGATAAGGACAGTATCAACTGCTGGATTCTTAAGGAGTGTTTTATGACTGCATTGAAATTCAAACTTGCACAAATGCACTGTTTCACCCAGTGGCAAACTAGACAGAAATCAAGGCATAAAGCATTCACAGGCATTGCCCATGCTGAATAAAAATGTTGAAATTCACACTGCCGGAGAGAAACCTTATGACCATGAGAAGACAGAACAGAATGCTGGAAAACCAGCATTTTTTGTTAATTAGTTCTGGTTCCCCCTTCTGAATTGAAAGCACTCATCAACGAAAATTTTAAGGCTTGAAACCTCTCAGGCTTTGTTATCCACTGATCCCCAGCTGCATACATGCCCAACAACTGGACCCAGAGTAGCTGTTCAAGGGATCCATCACTAACACTGTTGGCCAAGTATTACAGCATAATTGAATAGCTGCTGATAGAGCTGGTCGGTAGAGCCGCTCCTTCTGCTCCTTGGTCTCCTCACTGACATCTTTCTCACACTTGCAGTCTTACAAAATTTATTTCACATAACTAAATGCCTGAGTGTTTCTCGGGTTGCGGTTTAAATGAGAAAAGTGTATTATTTAATGCAGCTTTTCTTAAACGTTTTTTTACCTTGCAAGTAGAAATTACAAACAAAAGATGAAAATCCAGAAAGCTCAAACCTTTCTCTTCATAAGCTTGTTTTTAGATTAACATACACTAGCTGATCTTAGGCCTTTTTCCGCTGACACGAGAAAACACTGTAAATTTTTCCAACTCTTTTCTCAGGGTCGCCTTAAGCACTGTATTAAATAATTCCTTTGAAACCTAAGTGCAGGCTGCTGACCTAACACCGCTGTGACACTCAGCCTCACAACTGCCGCTTAACCCACTGCGTGCCTAAGCGGCAGAGACCACAATCAGTTTACAGCCGGGCTGCGGAGCACGCCGCCTCTCGCTTTTGACCCCGCTCTGAGAAACTCGCAGAACTGACAGGAAGGGCCGAGAATTCAGCGTCCCACAGCTCACGCTGCTTGGGAGCAGGAGGGAGGACGTGACGCGTTCGGGGGCCGACGAACAGCGCAGCAGCAGGGCGGGCGGCCCACCCCGCGACGCAGCGTGACCCACATCGGCAGGCCGGCGGGAGCGGGCTCCTCCGGACAGGCAGCGCCGGCGCACCACGGGCATGCTGAGCTTCGGGCGGGCTGCGGGCAGACGACCCCTCAGCGCTTCTCGCCCGCGGCACCGGGCCCGCCGCCGGAGCCCGGGTCCGCAGCAGGACAGCGCGCTTACCAAAAGCCTGTACTCCTCCAAAAGTGCCTCAGGGGCCGCTCGGCTCGCCGGACATCCACGTGCACCACAAACGCCGCGGAGCCCGCGCCGAGCTGCACCATCAGCCAGAGCAGCACCCCCATGGCGGCGCGGGGAGTGAAGCCGGGCCGCAGCTCCGCGCCGCCGACCGGCGCCTGCCGCAAACGCAACCCGGACGCGACGACGGGAGCCCGCCCAGCGCGGGAGTGCCGCGGCTCCCCGCCCCGACGGCGCTGTGAGGCGGTGGGTGCTGGGCGGCCGCGTGCAAGCTTCCGAAACGGCAGTGTTACGTTTCGGCGTGGCCAAAAAGCCGAAGTTGCTTTCTTGAGAGAAGATGCCTAAGAAAAGTTACGTTCGTTTATCCAGGAAGCCTCGTCCTTTCAGGCACGGTGTCAGGCGTGCCGTGAAACGCCGCCGTGCCGTGGCTGGGCCAGCAGCGTGAATCCTGAAGACATTGTGAGGGAACTTGGCCTGCAGGGTGAGCGCTCTAGAGGGCTCTGTTGGTATTTAAAGAAGCATCTGTCAGAGCTCAGGGAAAGACTCTTCTCCAGGAGTCTGCCTCTTGTTCTGGACAGTTTTCCCCAAGGTGTGCTCCTTGCCGCCTCAGCTGCATCAGACCAAACGCTGGGGGGAGAAGGGAGGACAAAAATCCTTCCCAGAAGACAGACAGACAGGGAACTTGAGGTGGCTCTGCATCAGCCCCAGGTTCCACTTTCTGTATCTGAGAAAGCAACAGGACTTTTCAGCGTTCATTTTCTGAAGAGCAGAAAATCTTTCCTGCTCAACACTGCTGCCCTTGTGCTTCCTGCCGTGGCAAGGAACCAAAGCAAGAAGAGTTCCCTATGGTGGAAACTCATATTTCTCTGTTCCCAAAATATCTGCAGGGATGCTACAGAAGAGGTCAAATGATTTGCTGTCAGTAAACCAAGATAGCCAACTGAATATGTGTGGATGCATTTGCAGGCCAAATGCCAGGTTACATCGGTAGTACCCAGTGGCCTACTTTACAGAACTCCCAGTCATCTTCTCCCAGGAGCAGAGCAGACACCTGGGTTACAAGAAGCAACTTCCAGCAAACGTTTTCCAAGGCATAGAAGTTTAATTCGGAACTGAGCACATATGCCCACCCTGCTATGGGTGTGATTCTAGACACCATCAGGCAGAGCCCTGATACAGGCCTTAGCCAAAGGGAATCTCTCCCACTGCCTTTTAATTTTTGCTCGTCCAGGAGCTAGGAGAATGGGAAGTCCGCAGCAGGAGGTTTTGTTTGGAAATGTTTACCTGGGAGATTTCCTATCACTAATGCTCGAAGACAAAGGACACTGTCTTGGAACAGCCTTCTTCTTTCTCCTTGCACAGACCAGGAGCTCTTCTTGTCCAGAGGCACTCCTGAGGAGGCACACAAGTATAAGAAATGGTGGGAGAGTGGGAGTGAAATAGCAGGGAATCAACTCTTTCCAACAAGTATAGGCTGACCATTCCCATGTCCCCTAAGTGACAGCTGCCTGCACAGCACAAATTCATCCAGTGCCTCAAACTGGGCAGATGAGAAATGTGACAGCATGATCACAGAATCACAGAATCACCCGGGTTGGAAGGGACCTCAAGGATCATTTCGTTCCAACCCCCCTGCCTAGCAGGGCCACCAAACACACACATTCAGATCAGGTTGCCCAGGACCCCGTCCAACGTGGCCTTGAACACGTCCAAGGACGGGGCATCCACAACCTCCCTGGGCAGCCCGTTCCAGGGCCTAACCACTCTCCTTGTAAAGAACTTCCCCCTAACATCCAACCTAAATCTTCCCTCCTTCAACTTGGATCCATTTCCCCTAGTCCTGCTGTTGTCAGCCCTTTTGAAGAGTTTACTCCCCTCGTGGGTGTAGGTTCCCTTCAGGTATTGATAGGCTGCAATGAGGTCACCCCGCAGCCTTCTCTTCTCCAGGCTGAACAAGCCCAACTCCCTCAGCCTGTCCTCATAGGGTAGGTGCTCCAGCCCCCTGATCATCTTAGTTGCCCTCCTCTGGACCCTTTCCAAAATCTCAACGTCTTTCTCTCTGATACATCAGAGCTGAGTAATTTATTGTCATGTAAACTGTTTGGTCACAATTGCTCTCCTTGCAGCATCTCTGCGGGTGTTTTGGGAGAACAGACGCATCAGTCTCCTTCACAGGGAGCAGTTTACTCCTCCCACTGCATTAGCTTTGTCAGGAGGCATCTGGATACCAAGGAGGAAAGCAATGCACTGTGAATTTGCTTAAGGAGTTTTTCAGTTTAAATGCCTCCTGCTCATAACTGCATACACGTTATGTAGTAAAGATGTTGTTGATCAGAAGTAACTGGAATCTTACCAGCATCAATAGCATGGGTGTTAGTGCTCCTTCTCTCACAGATGGCTTGTTTTTAAATCTCAGCTTATTTCACTACTGCAACTTTCCCCCAAGACCTGGTTTGTCAGCCCTGAGATGTCCTTTCTCCTTCTCATTCGTTCATCAGCAGACCATAGAAAAGAGTACTTCAACTGCAGCTGTCCATTATGTTTCTCTTTAGTGGAGCAGTCTCAAGGATTTTTCCAAAACCTGCTGTTTCTCCCTTCTACAGCAGGCTTCTGCCAACAAGCTGTGCAGATTTGCAGAAAGGCTTCAGCATAACTTACCTGTGGGGTCTGATTACAGTTCAATGGGGTTGTAATTTTGTTAAAATCCTACAGGCTGAGGTACAATTCATGAATTTAACACAATGCTTGGCATGGAAGTGTGCCTTGGACTTTTATATCCACAATCCTCTTCATTTCACTTGTAGTTGCATAGCATATCACAGATGTTCCCATAGGTTGCATTTGTCCCTAAGCTCTTTAATATTGTGTAATTTTGCTAAACTTTACAGGGATGGGGAACCTTACTAAACAGGAACTATACATTTCTGCCTCCAGTTTTCCTGAATCAAGATAAAAGAAACAATTAATCACTTCCTTGGATAACATTTCCCACAAATGCTGGCTCCTGTAGCAATAAAGCCTGCGAGCCATTTGTCATAGTAGACCAATTTGTCACCACCAGAGTCCCTAGAATCCAAAACCTTATGATTCCTGACTTAACTTTAAGCACAAATGTCCCTCTTGTTTAACGCTCCATCCTAGTGATGAAACTGGCTTGATCCCTCTGTGATATGTCCACAGAGTGACTCTTTCAATCCTGACTGCCATGTAGGTGATGAATACAATCTGGAGACATGCAATCCCTGTATTGATGCACCGGAACATCTAAGGGCAGCATCGTGCTGACTGTGATGTATGTGCAGGGAGAAAGCAAAAACGTCCCTAAAGAAATGACATATTCCATTAAATAGCATTTCCCTGGTTTCTGTTCTCTATTAAGGTTACACATATTATTTAAAAAGGGTTGACATTTTCTTTAGTTCCTGGCTGGATGTGTATCCATAGCAAGGCTAAGGATAAAGCACCCAGCCATCTTATATTGAACCTCTTGACAAACTTTACTCATTTGTTTTTTTAAGCTTTGATTCATCCTTCCTGCTTTTTCAGTTGATTGTAGTTTCCATGGAGTATGGAGATCATAATTTATCCCCATTTCTTTAGCTAGATTTTTAACTACTTCTGCTATAAGGTGTGAACTCCTATCTGAAGATGGTCCTATAGGTACCCCTTGGTGTTATTACCTTAAGCAACACTTCTGCAACTTCTGTGGCCTTCTTGTGCATCAAGGGAAAGATTCTGGCCAGCCTGAAAAAGTTTCTGTCATTACTAAAAAATATAAATGCCTGTTTTTGCTGTAGTAACTCAGCAAAGTCTATTTGCCAATAGTGGGATGTTTCCGTTGCCCCCTGTGAAGGTCTTCAAAGTAAATGAGCATTGTTCTTTAAACACAATTCACATTTCTTTACTGCACTTTTGGCTATCTCAGTCATTCATGCACTTAACTCTTGTATATTTAGCACTTCTGTCACTTTGCTTACCCAGTGAGTTTCCTCATGTTTTTTATCAGTCAATTCATGCATAATTTTCTGTGTGACTATTTACTTGGTGTGAAGGGCTCATCCACCATCTTTCTTGATTTTATTTTTTTTTATTTATTTATTTATTTTTTGCCTTCAGAAGATTAGCTAATTGCTCCTCTTCTGATGTATATGGTAAGTCTTATGCCTCAGTGTTTGGATTTTCTCCAATAGGACCAACAATATTTGACTCTTCAAAGCTTCCTCCACAGCCCTGCCCACCATCTGTTTTCCTGTATTTTATTGGGTTGTTTCCAGTCTGATGTGCACTAGTGCATGATTGCCACTGCTTCAAGCAGATTGATAGCTTGTAAGCTGTTGATCCACATTTGACTGAAGATCCTTGAGATGTTATAAGTCCCCTTTGTCTACAGTTGTCCCCATGATCATGGAATACCATGTAGTCAAACTCTAAATCTGTCCAGATATAAACACTTTTGTCCTTTGACAATTCTAACACTCTTAATAAGGCTATGAACTTTGCTTTCTGCACTGAAATGTTAGATAACAGAGCTTTGGCCTCAGCCATTTCCTTAACTGTTACCACTACATTTCCCACTTTCTAGTTTCCATCTTGCATGAAGCTGCTACCATCTATAGGTCCCATTCTACATTTTCCACTGGCATGTCTTTCAAATCTGCTCTGCTGGAGTATGTCTGGGGGAAAATGGTGTCAATGCTAAATATTTGTATGTGGAGAGCATTGATGTCTGTGAGAATGCAATGTTCTTTCTTTCCCATGGAATGTACTTGTTTCTCAGGTGTGTTCGGTGCTGGGTTTGATGCTGGCATGTGCTGCATTTGTGCTTAATTCAGGAGGCAAATCTGACAGATTTTATTGCTGGGTGTAGAGTTGTGAGTTTATTCCACTGCATCTGACAAAGACTCAGTCTGTATACAAGTTTCATAGTCTATCTGGGAACTAATAAATACAAAGCAGACCTTTTAGAGAAAACATACAAAAAGAGTCCTTAGAGCTTAGATAACCATCCTACAGCCATTGCTATCTTCTCCTTTGTAAAGAAATCAGGGTGCCTGGGACTCAGTGTGATACCCACTTTGTGCTTAGGGAAAAC